TTCGTTGTATTTAGCAGAAAGAATAGGTAAAGTACTCCATCTTCAGAAGAGGAAGTCCCCATAATTATGATTTTGAAGACTTCATGTGGTTTCATGCATTTGTGCTGGTTTTATTTGTACATACTGAATGGCCCTAAAAATTTATGCAAAAGTTTATGTACTTCTTTATTGTATATTTTATTAAAAATGAACCCCATTGTTAATCTACGGAACAGTTTGGATTTAATTTCCACCTCAGTAATTATATTTCTAGATATGCTTTCATTTTCTTACATTTGCCTGGTGTATATTTTTAAAAAAATCTTTATTTAATTATGACATGATACAGGAAACTGCACAGATTATGCATTTAGCTTGATGATTTTTTAACAGACTGCGTGAATGTACAACCACCACCTAGATTTAGAACTAGAACATCGCTACACCCAAGAAATACCCTCTTGTGTTCCTTTCCAATCACTAACCTCCTCCCAAGGGGTACCAATAGCCTGACTTCTAACAGCATAGATTAGTTTTACATGTTTTTGAAATTTATATAAACATAATCCTACGGTATTGATTCATTGCTCTTTTGGGTCTGGCTTCTTTGGCCAATGGAATATTCATAAGATGAGATTCTTGTCTGTCGTGCATAGTAATCTGTTCATTCTTGTTACTATAGAGTACTACCTTGTATGATTATAGGACTAGTTTATCCATTCTGATATTGATGGGCATTTGGATAATTTTCAGTTTTGAATAAAGCTACTCTGAACATCATCTTGTCTTTCAATCAAAATATGTTCGCCTTTCTCCAAAGTACATTCCTAGGAGTGGAAGAGCTGGATCATAGACTATTACTTGGGTTCAGCTCTCTCTCTTTTTTTTTTAAGATTTTATTTATTTGAGAGAGAGAGAGAGCACCTGAGCAGGGGGAGGGGTAGAAGGAGAGGGAGAAGCAGGCTCCCCACTGAGTAGGGAGCCCCAGGTGGGGCTCGATCCCAAGACCCTGGGATCATGACCTGAGCCAAAGGCAGATGCTTACCCTGCTGAGCCACCCAGGCGCCCCTGTGTTCAGCTTTCATAGATAACACCAAACAGTTTTACAAAGTGTTTGTGCTACTGTATGCTCCTCAGAAACAATTTATGAGTTTCCATTGCTCATATCCTCACCAGCTCTCTTGGTTATTTTCCATCTTTTCCATTTTCAGCCATTTCCGGTGGTTATGAAGAAGTATCTGATTGCCATTTAATCTGTATATCCTTGCTAACTAATGAAGTTGAGTATCTTTTCCTATGCTTACTTGCCACTTGGCATATCTTCTTTGGGAAGTGCCTGTTCCCTTTGAGTTTTTCCTGTTACTCCTATTGATTTCTAGGAATTCTTGATATATTTGAGATATGAATTGTTCGTCAGATACCAGTATTACGATCATCTTCTCCCACTGTGGGATTTGCCTTTTCACTCTTAATTTTGTCTTCTGATGAGCCAAGGTTTTTCATTTTAGTGTAGTCCAATTTAATATCCTTTTATTCTACCAGATATCAGAACTTGATATGAAGCACATTAATTAAGATATGATAGAAGTGGTCCACATATAGACAAATAGACCAGTCAAAACACAGAGTCCAGGAATGGACCTCTACCTAGATGGTCACAAAGCAATACTGCAGAGCAGTGGAGAAAGGACAGTCTTTTCTATAAGCCATGTTGGATCTCCTTGATATCCATATGGAAGAAAATAATATTTTTTTAAAAGATTTTATTTATTTATTTGACAGCATGCACAAGCAGGGGGAGGACAAAGGAAGAGGGAGAAGTAGACTCTGCACTGAGCAGGGAGCCTGACCTGATCTCGGGCTCGATCCCAGGACCCCAGGACCCCAGGACCCCAGGACCCCAGGATCATGACCTGAGCCAAAGGCAGACACTAACTGACTGAGCCCCCCAGGTGCCCTGGAAGAAATGAATCTCGACCCTAGCACATACCACACACCAGAATCCTTCCCAAGAAGGCTATAAATCTAAATGTAAAAGATAGAACAATCCAAATTTAGAAGAAAACATTGAACATCTTTATGACCCTGAGTTTTCCTAACTAAGACATAGCGAGTACCAACCATAACAGAAAGAATGATAAACAGCAATGGCATGTTCCTGTCCAACGCTTCATTTCACATCTTTGTCTTTTTGTTTTACGTATGTGGCACCTGTGTTTTGTGACCTCAGGTCATTGTCTTTGTCTTTTTTTTTTGGTTTAGTGTTGCATAAGAGAGATCACAAGTAGATGGAGAGGCAGGCAGAGAGAGAGAGAGAGAGAGGGAAGCAGGCTCCCCGCCAAGCAGAGAGCCCGATGCGGGACTCGATCCCAGGACCCTGAGATCATGACCTGAGCCGAAGGCAGCGGCTTAACCCACTGAGCCACCCAGGTGCCCCTGTCTTTGTCTTTTATGGCAGGAGTCAGCTCATTCAATTTAGTTGATTTATAACCTATTAAATTTCGTGCCTTCTATTATTTTATGCTAACTATTTATTTGACTCGGTATTTCTACTCTTTTCCTGTTTTTGCTGGTTTGGTCACATTTCTCATTCCACTCTGGGTTCGTATTATCTAGGAATTCTGATAGTTTGAGATTTTGATTACTTACATCAATTTCTGCTAGTAGTTGCCTTCATCTTCCTTACAAATATAATTGTCTATCTTTTCTCTATTACTAGATTCAATAATGTTGTAATCACATTTAGATCTAGGAATAGAGGTGCGTGATTTGCCTTCTCTTCGTCATTTTACTCAGTAGATTTTTCCAGGCTATTGTAAGTTTTCCAATTAATAATAATCTTATTTATTCCATATGCCTAGTTACATTATTTTTCTTTATTCAGATATAACTATATATTACAAGAATCATTTCTCAAGATTGCTTTCCTCTGGTTGTTGAGGTTCCTGTTACTCTTCAACTTATAATTGCTTAGACTCTTCCCTTGAGTGGTCTCCTGAGCTAGGAATGGTGGCATTTAATGTTATAAATGCTTTTATGTCTAAAATTGTCTTTTGCTCTGACAGAAGAATAGTATCAAACTAGGATTCATTTAAAATTCTCGGATCTCAGCCCCTTTCTCTCAGTAATTTGTAGATATTTTCTTCTAATATGATTCCTATCGTTGCAAACAATAAGTCTAGTTGCCATTGTGAGCCCTTTCCATTGTAAATAACACGTCGTTTCTGCCTGGAAGTATTTTAGGTTTTCTTTTCTTTTTTTTTTTTTAAGATTTTATTTATTTATATGACATAGAGAGATCACAGGTAGGCCAAGAGAGGGGGGGGGAAGCAGGCTCCCTGCTGAGCAGAGAGCCCGATGTGGGGCTCGATCCCAGGACTCCTGAGATCATGACCTGAGCCGAAGGCAGAGGCTTAACCCACTGAGCCACCCAGGCGCCCCTTAGGTTTTCTTTTTATCCTCTAAATTCAGTGCCACATCAGGTTTGGGGTTGATTTGGTTCCTCTGAGAGTCAAGGATTGGGGGGATTTCCTTGGGGAAGGATCAATGAGATAGGGTCCAATAGGATTAGATAATCTAAAGCCTATATATGTGATTCACAATAGGGCAGTGAGTGACAGTCTTGGGAAATTCTTGAGGTTTTATAAGAGTTGGAGATATAGGGGTGCTTGGGTGGCTCAGTTGGTTAAGCGTCTGCCTTCAGCTCAGGTTATGATCTCAGGGTCCTGGGATCAAGTCCCGCATCTGGCTCCCTGCTTAGTGGGGAGTCTGCTTCTCTCTCTCTCTCTGTCTCCCACTCCCCTTGCTTGTTCTCTCTCTCTCTGGTCAAATAAATAAAAAAATAAATAAAATCTTTAAAAAAAAAGAGTTGGAGATATATGTATCTGAAGCCATTGATTAGCCCATGAAAGTTATTGATTGGACCCTGAGGTGGCAAATGATTGCTTGTAAGCCTGGGATTACAAGTTTTGGGGGTCAGTTTTGGTGGCCTTTTACGAGTCATTGATTGAGACCTGTGGATATCGGTAAATGCAGGACTGTGTGAGGTAGTATGTGATAGACTATTACTAAAGATTTTATGGGAGTCACTAATTCTCCATATGGGCTGTGAGTTATGGGGTCCTATAGGAGGTCAGGTTTGGTCCCCAAAAGTCATTGAGTTGGTTTTTCTCTCGAGGGTGTATTGCCTGTGTTGATGATTATTTGGGGAACCTATGAAAACCAGTGGATAATACCATCTGGGACACGATTTTGTCAAGCAGTGTGGGTTACTGATTTAGGAGCCTGTACAGACATGCTGGTTGTCAGTGCCCAGATGGGAGTTGGGGGAGGGAGGCAATGAGTTTATGTTTTCATATATGGCAGAAGAAGGTGGGCTCTCTCAGTTGCCCAGAGCAGACCCCAAATTATCCAGAAGCTCAGTTTATGCACTTGTGGCATGATCACCTCTAGCCAGAGCACTTTAAGGGCAGCAGGAAATGGAAATAATGTTTTTTGTGACCTCCCATGTACAGAATACCATATGGCTTAGTATTTAAGAAAATGTACCTTGGAGCCAGACATACCTGGGTTTGAGTCCTTGTCCTTCCCCCTAATCTGAGTGATCTGGGGGAAAATTTCTTAGTATCTCTGAACATCTCTATGTGATGATAAATGGGAATAATACTACTAGAATACCTAGTTCATAAGATGAGTTTGAAAATTAAAAGAGGTACCTGCTTTGCCCTTGTAATAATAATAATAATAATATTTAATATCAATGGAGTATGTTCCGGGTGCCAAGTAGGAATGAGCCCTTTGGAGGTATTATACCATTTAATTCTAATGACCCTATGAGAACAGATGTTTTCATCCTCAGTTGTAAGATAAAGAAACTCAGACTAAAGTGACTTCCCCCAAATTCTAGCTGGAAGATCTGGAATTCAAGCCCTCATTCATTTTATACTAAGTCTTATGAGTATTTTTTTTCATATTATATGCTAACACTTGGTGTTGGTTTTACTGAACTTTTTCACAGTATCCAGCACAGAGAGCTGCCCCCTCGGTGCCCCCAGGAGGCAATTGTGGGGAGGATGGTGAATGACTGACCACATGGACACTGGCTTTTCAGCATTTCTTGGAGTCTCTGCGGAACCCCCGGGCCAGACCCCGTAGTGGAGGCTCTAGGACCTACCTCCCGACCCCAGCAGCTCTGATTGGGTCCCCAGCTGCCCACCCGGCTTCTAGCTCCTGGGAAGAGCAGAGTCATCGGCAAGAGAGCCCGGAGAGCTGAGGCCCAGCGGGAACATGCCAGCTAACCAGAGTTCTCCCCAGTGGTCCTCGGTCCTGGCTGCAGAGGGACATGGCAGCCTGTGTGAGGTGAGGAGGGAGAGGACTCCAGGGTCTGGAATTCACCCAGTGAGGAGGCAGCCCTGACTTGTCCCCAGGGCCACAAGGAGGGGGCAGGTGGGTCACAGAAGTGGCTGATTCCAAGACTCTAGGATACCAGGTCACCGTCCTCCGGCTGTGTGAGTACCACGTAGCCGGTGTCCCACATCCAGAGCCCTGTGTGTTTCAGTGGTCATGTGATGGAGGGAAGGTGGGATGGGAGGGTTACCTGGCTCTGTGTAGATGCACAGCTGATCACTCCCTCCTCCCCCAGCCTCCTTTCTCCCTTGTCTCAGGGGATTTGCTGATTTCTCCTCTATCCTGATCTAAGGCAGAAAAACCCCTTTCCTCTGGAACTGAGAAGATGGCAGGGTAATAGGACAACAACAGGATCCAGGGTCTTTCTAGTTCTTCCTCTTCCTTTCAAAGGTGTAAAATGGCCCGAGAATGGACAGGACTTGCCCAGGCCCCTTGGAGTGTGAGTAACAGCATTAGACTGGAACCAGGTCTCCTGAATGGGTCCTCCACTCTCACCACACCAAGCCAAGACCAAGTTGCCCACTACAATTTCCCTTTGAGCATCTGGGTGGCTCAGTCTGTTGGGCACCTGCCTTTAGCTCAAGTCATGATGTCCAGGTCCTAGGATCAAGCCCCGTGTCTGCTTCTCCCTCTCCATCTGCCCCTCTACCCCCCACCCCATTTATGTTCCTTCTCTTTCTCTCTCAAATAAATAAATAAAATATTTTTAGAAAAATAAAAGGAAAAATAAATATTCCCCTTGAGAATCTGTAAACAGGGGAAGGAGATGAGAAAGCCAGACCCTGCCCAACAGCTCCCTGCTTCAGACCTTCCTGTGGGTGCTGTCACCTCTGGGACAGGCTTCTGGTCACAGGGGCTCAGGGTCACATGGTCACTAGGATATTAAGCTTTAAAAAATTATTTTGATTTTTATTGTTTCATAATTTCATTATGCCACGATAAAATGTTAGAAAACACAGGCAAACAAATAGAAGAGAATGAAACATTACTTGTAATTCCAGCATCACCCAAAGTTAACCATTGTTAACATTCAGCTACATTTCCTTTCAGTTCATTTTTCCTTTGTATGCACATGCGTGCGTGTATGTGGGTGTATGTTCGGGACTGTGTCTGTGCACGCATACCAGACACGGATACATCCTGTAGCTCAAGTTTAAAAATGGAATCACAGTATTTGGTTGCCTCCTTTTTCATTTGTCAGCTTAACATGATTTTCTGGGCATTAAGTATTTTATCTTCCTGTCCGCACAACGCACAGCATTATGTCCTTTGGGTAAACTTGAATGAATTTAATCAATCCATTGTATGTGTATTTAGGGTGTTTCAGGTTTTCTGTTGTGATCAACACTGCTGTGGGAAAATTCCTGCATTTGAGTCTTTTGCTCACGTCACTGAAATTATATTTGGGTCAAAGGTATGAAGCTGTCAAATGGTAAACACCCATGGAAATGTAGAGGCTCCATCGTATCAATCACAGACCCACAGTTTGGGCCCGCAGTGACGTGCTCCTCCCCAGTCTTTCCGCAGGTGGCCTCTTGCCCAGCCAGTGTGTGGGAATTTCTAGATGAAAGATTCTGGCCTCTACAGGGTACATTTCTCCACTCATCTCTTCCTTTCCAACCACAGACCTCTGACCCTTTTCAAGAAGAGATGGAAATGACCAAGACACTGTTGAATGTTATTTATTCACTTATTTATTTGTTGGGGTTTTGGTTTTTTTCGTTAGACATCAGGGAGCAGGGAATGGGCAGAGATGCCAAAGAACCAATAAGAGTGTCCCCGGAGGTAGGAACAGCCAGCGGGACCAGGAAATAGTGGCTGAACCTGGAAAATAGGCAGAAGGGTCAGTAAGAGAAAGAGGGATGAGGAACAGCTGAGGGGACCCTGGTGCTCTCCCTGGAGATGGAGGATAGCCAAGGGACCCAGGGGACAGATGAGAGTGCAATGGAACAGAGGAAATGGGAAACAGAAGCCCAGAAGCCAGGGGCAGCGGAAAGACCAACAAATAGTCATGGGGACTGGAGAAGTAGAGAGCAGGGAAAAGCCAGCAGGTCTAAGAACAATAAGAGGGATCGCAAAATAGGAGGAGGGACCAGAAGGTAGATAGCAACCAGAGGAGCAGAGACCATCCAGACGGATGGGAAAACAAAATTTGGCTAAAATGGAAAAAGTAGAGGGGCACCTGGGTGGCTCAGTGGGTTAAAGCCTCTGCCTTCAGCTCAGGTCATGATCCCAGGGTCCTGGGATTGAGCCCCACATCGGGCTCTCCGCTCAGCAGGGAGCCTGCTTCCTCCTCTCTCTCTGCCTGCCTCTCTGCCTACTTGTGATCTCCGTCGGTCAAATAAATAAATAAAATCTTAAAAAAAAAAAAGTAGATAGGTTTGGCATTCTGGGCAGGAGCCTGTGGGACAAGCAGCTTCACAAGGCACCAGGGCTTCAGGAAGAATCCAAGGGGATAGGGAAAGGTAGAGGCGCCAGGAAACAAAAAAAATAGGAAAGAATGGGAAGGGAGTGGATAGCAGCCAGAGGAGCAAGGACCAGCTGCCGAGGCTATAAACGGGGAAGGGTGGGGAGGGGACAGGCCCATGGGACAGGTGGAAAGGCAGGGAAAGGCCTCCCGGGCTGAGGAGTAGCTGAGGACATCAGGAGCCACGCGGAACAAGGAAGAGTCTCTGGGTCCAGGAACCGCCAGAGGGAACAGCAAAGCTGTACTAGGCACAGGGTGTCTACTGGAGGTCCCCGGGGCTAATCAGGGGACTAGGAAACCACAAATTAAAAGCTTATCTGGTGTTGGAGAGCAGCTTGACAGACCCGAGAACAGCTAGAGGGACTAGAGAATAGCTGGAAGGCATAGTAGGCATTCCTGAGGCCAGTTAGCAGCAAGAGGCCCCATGTAACAGGCACCGGGGTTAAGGGCTAGTTGCAGAAGCCAGGGAGAGGCTGAGGAACAGCCAGAGTTCCCTGGAATAGGGTGACAGGGTTTCCTGGGATCAGGGATTTCAGTACGAAAATAGGGAAAGTCCTGGGGGAATGAAACAGTTGGTCACCCTACCCAGGAAACAGAAGAACCAGCAAATAGACATGATGTAAGTGATGGAGAAGGCGAAAGTCCAACATCAAGCATGGCGGAGCGTCCAGAACTGGTAGACTTTGGTGGTCAAGAGTCTAGGCTAGGAGCCGGGTTGACCAGCTGTCTGCAAAGTGCCCCCTCCACCTCCCAAACCAGATGCAGGAGTGTCAAGTGAGAGTATATTAAAAATGCATTCTAGATTTGCTGAAGGCACAGGGAAGAACTGGGACCGGACAGCAGTCAGGGGCCTCAAAGGGCAGTCAGTCTGTGCCAAGTAGAAGGAATAAGAAAAGCTCATCAGGACCAGGGAACAGCCAGATGGACTAGGGCGCCATCAGAAGAATGATGCCACAGACTAAGGTCAGCTAGAGGGAGAACTGTCGGAGGAAACAGGACAGTCAGAGGCACCAGGGAGCATCAGAGGGAAGAAGAAACAGGAGGCGTGGAACAGTTAGAGGAACCCAGGGACAATCCGGAAAGAGACCAAAGGGCACTCAGAAGGAGCAACCAACATTTAGAGGGAACAGTAAACAGAGGGACCAAGGCAGTCCAATGAGGACTAACGCTGAGGGAATAAGGACCAGAAGAGGGAGCAGCAGGGAGAAGAGACAGGAGTGGGCAGGGGAAGCAGGGGAAACCGAGAGGGAGCCCTGGAGGGGTACGAAAACAGTCCGAGGGAACGGGGGACGACCAGAGGGAGTAGGGAAGATCAAAGCAACCCCAGCTAAAGGCAAACACACAGAGAGGCTGGGTCTTTGGCCTCTGGTGAGGGGAGCCAAGAACTCGCTGCACACTTTCAGCCAGCCCCATAAGCACCATGGAAGCCCTTCTGCTAGGCTGGGATAGGGTATAGGAGGGCCGGGTCATATCACAGGAGGGGATGTGGAAGTGTTCATCTGCAGGAGTGAGGCAAGCCCAGAAGTGGGGGTATGGAGACCTAAGCCGGCTGTGGGATGGGCGGGAGCTGAGGGCCAGGAAACACAACGGACAGTGAGTAGTCAATCCTGGCAGCCCAGCAGGGCCCCCGGGATGAGATCCCGTAATGTGTGGCTCAGATGATCCCGAAGGGAGACAGGAGAGCCCAGTGGGTCGCTGGAGAGCCTCGAGGAGCTAGAGTGGGGATCCTCACCTCGGATGAGGAAGTCCTTGCAGGGTTCGTGGTGATAGGCGTGCCATCCTGCCTGGTATAAATGGAACAGGAAATCAAACCTTTTCATAGGTGGCGGGTGAGGCTGAAATCTGGGTGAGTCTGTGTTAGCAACTTTCTCCCCAGATTTCTGGCACCAAAATCCCCCTCCCAAAGCTGCTATTTTTGCGGGGAAGGGGAGCAAAGACAGGCATCTGTGGGCAGTATACTTTGCGTATATTTATCTTGTGTCTGTCCCTGCTGAGAATGCCTGTCATGGGCTTTGTACACTTTCCCTGCAAATGGGGCCATCATGACTCCCAGGGAGGGAGGGACTGACTGAGGGTGGTCTTTTGTCCACTAGCTTGGGCCACTGGAGTTGTTAAAATGTTGAACAGTGCCAAATGAGAGAGTATTTTCATTCTTGCACACTGATTGGTAAATAGCCACTCATGTCCTGCCCCCTGAGGCTCCTCCCCCTCGTGTTGCCCACACACCTGCCCCTCTGCCCTCGGGGTAGCTGGCAAGCTGCTCCAGAGGATGGGCGGGCAGAATGAGAGCTTCCCCCAAGCCTGACCCAAGGCTCCCCCTTGTTGACTGCCCTTGGGTGATGAAGGTGGTACAGGTCAGGTGTGTTCCTAGGGGCTCAAGTGAAGGTCCTCCTCTCAGCAACCCCCAGGGCTGTGCTCAGGAGTGCTGGCTTGGTGGTGGGGGGGCGATGCTCCAAGTGCTGGGCTCGGCCCAGGGTTTGTGATA